TTAGGAAAGACTACCTCAGGGACTAGACTGGTCAGTGCGGATTGTGTACGGGTCGGTATGGTGCTCTCGGCTTAAACATATTTTGCATCATATAGTGCTTTCAGTATCCAACCACGGACATACAATTCCACATTCTAGTGGTCATGCAAATCAATTCTAGCCTGTTTGATCTTCAAGGAAATTTTTCTTTAGTTGGTGATCAGGTTGCAGATTCATTACCATTTCAACAAAATACTGAAATTTTCTAGATTTCACATTCTCTAGAAGCAAAGAGTCATCAAACTCTAGGGTATCAAGAGAAGCAAATTGATCACACCATTTTTTTAGAGAGTCGATGTAGAAGACGCTTCTTTAGTTGTCAAGAATGAAAAAACGTGACACTTAAATTCTGTTGGCAAATCGCTTAGCCCATCCTCTATCTCATTGAGTATTTTCTCCTCCATGTAATCGCTGAAGAGCAAAGAGAGAATAGGTTAAAGAAGAACTGAATCAAGAAATCTTATATTTCATATAGCTAAACCATATAAATATTAAGACCTTCACGACAAAACCCATTAAAAGAAATTTGAATCTAAGACCCTAAAGACAAAAACCCATCAAGCGAAATCTAATTCCAAACCCATAAGAAAACTCGAATCTTTAAACCGTCTATCGATTAAAACCTAAACTTTCGCGAGTCGGCGATGAACAAGTAAAAAGCCATAATCCAAGTAGAAAGACATAATACGAACTTGTTCTTCGACTTGTTTTTACTTAGGAATTATTGGGCCTTAAAACCGAGTCAACCTTCTAATGGGCTTTAAAGGCCTCAGATCTAAACTATCTTCTCCTCCAGAGGCACCATTCTCCTTGAGATTCCGATTCCGACCAGTTCCTTCTTCTTCTCCGACTCGTGTAATGTCATGATGATATGGTAAACAAGCTTCTAACAATGGCGTATGGCTCCTTTTGTGTCTCATCGAAAGCTTTAGTCTTCTCTCGTCCTTGTTATGGCTCCATTAGAGATCTCCCTTTCTCTCTCCGAACACCTACAGTTTCGTCTCTACCCTCTTTCCCTTTTTTATCTTCTTTGATTCTTCTCTTACACAAGTCCGTTGCTAAAAACCAATCTCCATTTCAGATTGGACATTGCGGTTGTGTTGGAGCTATCGCAGCACCTAGAAATCTCGTGAAACCTCGCAAGGAAGAGAGCCGAGGTAATTTCTGATTCGATTCAGCTTCACAACAAATGCGAATTTTGATTCTTGTTTTTTTGTAAAACGATGCGAAGATTTTAGTGGAGCACGAAGGAGTAAGGATAAATTGATGCCATGGAAGAAGTTAGATGCTAATGAGTTTGGTATACAGAGGTCAATGATCCCAGAATCTACAAGGATGGTTCTCAATAAACTCAGGAAAAAAGGTTTTACTTTCTCTTCAAGGAATTAAATATTTTTTCACCAAAGTTGTAATGCTTTTTGATTTTTTGGTTTGAAATGTGATGATGATTCAGGATTTCAAGTTTACTTAGTCGGAGGCTGTGTTCGGGATCTTATACTAGATAGAATCCCAAAGGATTTTGATGTTATCACTACAGCTGAACTCAAGGAGGTGTGACATTAGTTTCAAATAAACCAAGTGCCTTCTGCCTCCATTTTTGTATTTGTGAATCATCACTGTGTGTGCAGGTACGGAATGTATTTCCTCGTTGTCAGATCGTTGGAAGACGGTTTCCTATCTGTCATGTTTATGTCGATGATATTATTATCGAGGTTTGTACAAGATTTCACTCATTCACATCTACCTATCATTTAAGTACGCTAGAACTTAGCGTTCTTCGACTAAAGGCTGAAGCTCCCACTTTTCTTCTTCTATTGTTCCCGAATGAAACAATTTCTCAGTCAGAAAGAACATTTTCTCTTGTCTCGCAAGTTCTTAAAATTGTGTCTCCAAGGCTTATTGGAGTTTTTGTATTTAACAGGTGTCAAGTTTTAGTACTTCGGCAAGAACTGGAAAACCTTTCGATAAAAAGTTGAGAAGGCCTGCGGGCTGCAATGAGCGTGATTATATCCGTTGGAAGAATTGTTTACAGCGTGATTTTACGGTTAACGGGTAGGAAATACCACTTATATTTAATCCCTTTCCACAGTTATTTATGAATAGAGATCCTTATTCAGCGTGTGTTAACATTTAGATATTGGACTTTTCAGGTTGATGTTTGACCCATTGGAGAATGTAGTTTATGATTATATAGGAGGAGTTGAAGATATTAGAAATTCCAAAGTAGGTTTTTCAGTTTAAGTTATCATTCTTTGTAGAAACCAATTGATTTGTGAATAAATTGGTATCAGTCCTAAATCAGTCAAAGTTTGTTCTGTAGGTGAGGACAGTATCCTCGGCCAAGCTTTCATTTGTTGAGGATACAGGTCAGTAGATGCAATGTTTAGTCATTGGTATGAAATCTATTTTTTTGGTACGGCTTCAAAAAAGGTAACGGTGTTCACTTTACAGCTCGCATTTTACGTGCAATTAGGATTGCGGCGAGGTTAGGATTCAGCTTGACTAAAGACGTTGCTGTTTCTGTGAAGGAGCTGTCTTCTTCATTGCTGAGACTTGACCCTGTATATCTCATTCCCTTACCTTGTTCTCCTTTTTTTCTGTGTTTTTTCTTTGTTTAAAAGACTGAGCATTTTCTCTGGTTCAGTCACGAATCAGGATGGAAATCAATTATATGCTGGCGTATGGGTCCGCAGAAGCTTCTTTACGGTTGTTATGGAGATTTGGGCTCATGGAACTTCTTCTACCTATCCAGGTATGGTAAATCTTCTCTCCCAGTGCAGTGTTATGTCCTGCATATCGAGTTATTTGATCTTTCATCTGGATGGTTATGTCTATGTGCAGGCATCTTATTTTGCATCCCAAGGGTTCCGGAGGCGTGATGAAAGGTCCAACATGCTTCTGGTACATATTTTTGCTTTCCCAATTAGACATGGCTACTTCTTGTCGAGTATTAGTAAACGCTGGAGACTGCAAAATAAACGACTCGATATGGCTAACTGATTAAAGCTTCTTCTTTTCAGTTGCTATTTCGCAACCTTGACCGACTTGTAGCACCTGATCAACCATGCCACGAGTTCTTGTGGTGAGAATTTTTTTGTTTTTTTTGCATTTATCTTAGTAATGGGTGTTGCCAAGCTTAACAATTTCAGGGACTAATAACTTCAGGATTGGGATCTTAGCATTCCACAAAGCATTGGTCGACCAGCCTCGGGATCCCACGGTAGTAGCTTCCTTTTGCCTTGCCATCTTCAGTGAAATATCTTTGTCAGAAGCCATCGAGATTGCAAGGACCAACTCTAAACAGCACAACACACAATTCCAAGAACTGTCTAGTCATGAAAAAGACACTGTTAAATCAGACAGCAAATTATCGCAGCAGGTCATCAGTTTCGCAGAGTCTATAAAATCAGCTGTGCGAAAGATGAGCGATCGAGACTACTTAGCTAACGCAATGAGCAAATACCCGCAAGCACCGGGTTCTGATATGGTACCACATCTCAGTAATGATTGCAATCAAATTCACTTGACTATTTTGTATAATATTCAGTGAGATTATACATATTGTTTTTTTTTCAGGTGTTCATGTCGAGACCGGTGTTGGAGAGAGTGCAGAAAATGTTTGGAAGTGTGAGAAGAAAAGGAAATGACGAGAGAGATGTCCCAAGTTTAGACCGTAGGATTAATCACAAGTCTCTTGCTCTTGGGGACTTTCATGAGACTCGTCGTGTTTTTGCTAGGATTGTTTTTGATACCGTTTACCCTCCGACTTAAAAGACCCCTATCTCTTTTTATTTCACATTCAACTAGATGACTCTTTAAGTTCTGATGTATCAAATCTTATTATAATGACAACGACGAAGACCAAGGAAAGGACGAGAGACTCCACACACATATCGGAAAGGAACTAAACCCTTGATAAGCTTCAAAACAGGAAGGAATACATGTGTGTTGAACCAAAGGATCGACAATGAATTTATAATGGTAAGAGGTTCGGAGATTCTTGATATATAAGTCGGAGCTTGGCATTTGCTTTGTAGA